ATACATTTTTCTGAGCACCACATAGCACTCACTTATTCTAAAATTGACTACATAATTGGAAGTAAAACACTCCTCAGCAAATGCAAATGAATGGAAATCATAGCAAACAGTCTCTTAGACCACAATGCAACCAAATTAGAACCCAGGAATAAGAAACTCACTCAAAAATGCACAACTACATGGAAACTGAAAAACCTGCTTCTGAACGATTACTGGGTAAATAACAAAATTAAGGCAGAAATAAAGATCTTCTTTTCTGAAACCAATGGAAACAAAGACACAATGTACCATAATCTCTGGGACACGGCTAAACCAGTGTTTAGAGGGAAATGTATAGCACTAAATGCCTACAAGAGAAAGCGAGAAAGATCTAAAATCGACACCCTAACATCAAAATTAAAAGAACTAGAGAAGCAAGAGCAAACACATTCAAAAGCTAGCAGAAGGCAAGAAATAACTAAGATCAGAACAGAGCTGAAGGAGATACAGACAAAAAAAAAAACTTCAAAAAATCAATAAATTTAGCAGTTGTTTTTTTAAAGATTAACAAATTAGACAGACCACTAGCCAGACTAACAAGAATCAAATAGACACAACAAAGAAGAATCAAATAGACACAACAAAAAATGATAGAGGAGTATCACCACTGATCCCACAGAAATCATCAGAGAATACCATAAACACCTCTATGCAACTAAACTAGGAAATCCATATGAAATGAATAAATTCCTGGACACATACACCCTCCCAAGACTAAACCAGGAAGAAGTCAAATCTCTGAATAGACCAATAATAAGTTCTGAAATTGAGGCAGTAATTAATAGCCTATCAACAACAACAAAAAAAGTCCAGCACCAGACCGATTCACAGACGAATTCTACCAGAGGTACAAAGAAGAGCTGGTACCATTCCTTCTGAAACTATTCCAAACAATGAAAAAGAAGGACTCCTCCCTAATTCATTTTATGAGGCCAGTATCATCCTGATGCAAAACCCTAGCAGAGACACAACAAAAAAAGAAAATTTCAGGCCAATATTCCTAATGAACATCAATGCAAAAATCCTCAATAAAATACTGGCAAACCAAACCCAGCAGCACATCAAAAAGCTTATTGACCACGATCAAGTCAACTTCATTCCAAGGATGCAAGGCTGGTTCAATATACACAAATCAATAAATGTAATCTGTCACATAAAAAGAACCAATGACAAAAACCACATGATTATCTCAAGCGATGCAGAAAAGGCCTTCAATAAAATTCAACACCCCTTCATGCTAAAAACTCTCAATAAACTAAGTATTGATGGAACATATCTCAAAATTATAAGAGTTATTTATGACAATCAATAAACATAATCCATCACATAAAAAGAACCAATGACAAAAACCACATAATTATCTCAATAGATGCAGAAAAGGCCTTCGATAAAATTCAACACCCCTTCGGGCTAAAACCTCTCAATAAACTAAGTATTAATGGAATGTATCTCAAAATAATAAGAGTTATTTATGACAAACCCACAGCTAATATCCTACTGAATGGGCAAAAGCTAGAAGGATTCCCTTTGAAAACTGGCACAAGACAAGGATGCTTTCTCTCACCACTCCTATTCAACACAGTATTGGAAGTTCTGGCCAGCACAATCAGGCAAGAGAAAGAAATAAAGGGCATTCAAATAGGAAGAGAGGAAGTTAAATTGTCTCTGTTTGCAGATGACATGATTCCACATTTAGAAAACCCCATCGTCTCAGCCCAAAAACTCCTTAAATTTCAGTGAAGTCTCAGGATACAAAATCCATGTGCAAAAATCACAAGGATTCCTATACACCAATAATAGACAAATAGAGTACCAAATCTTGAGTGAACTCCCATTCACAATTGCTACCAAGAGAATAAAATACCTAGGAATACAATTTACAAGAGATGTGAAGGACCTCTTCAAGGAGAACTACAAACCACTGCTCAAGGAAATAAGAACTACAAACCACTACTCAAGGAAGTAAGAGAGGACACAAACAAATGGAAGAACATTCCATGCTCATGGATAGGAAGAATCAATATCGTGAAAACGGCCATACTGCCCAAAGAATTTACAGATTCAATGCTATTCCAATCAAGCTACCATTGATTTTCTTCACAGAATTAGAAAAATCCACTTTAAATTTCATACGGAACCAAAAAAGAGCCCATATAGCCAAGAAAATCTTAAGCAAAAATAACAAAGCTGGAGGCATCACGCTACCCAACTTCAAACTGTACTACAAGGTTACAGTAACCGAAACAGCGTGGTACTGGTACCAAGACAGACATATAGACCAATGAAACAGAACAGAGGCCTCAGAAACAACACCACACATCTACAACCATCTCATCTTTGAGAAACCTGACAAAAACTAGCAATGGGGAAAGGGTTCCCTATTTAATAAATGGTGTTGGGAAAACTGGCTAGCCATATGCAGAAAACTGAAAGTAGACCCCTTCCTTACACCTTACACAAAAATTAACTCAGTTCTGAAAGAGGTCAGGGTCAAGATGGATTAAAGACTTAAACGTAAGACCTAAAACCATAGAAACCCTAGGAGAAAACCTAGGCAATACCATTCAGGACAAAGGCATGGGCAAAGACTTCATAACTAAAACACCAAAAGCAATGGCAACAAAAGCCAAAATTGACAAATGGGATCTAATTAAACTAAAGAGCTTCTGCATAGCAAAATAAACTATCATCAGAGTGAACAGGCAACCTACCAAATGGGAGAAATTTTTTCCAATCCATCTATCTGACAAAGGGCTAATATCCAGAATCTATAAGGAATTTAAACAAATTTACAAGAAAAAACAACAACACTGTCAAAAAGTGGGCAAAGGATATGAACAGGCACTTATCAGAAAAAGATATTTATGTGGCCAACAAACATGAAAAAAAGCTCACTATCACTGGTCATTAAAGAAATGCAAATCAAAACCACAAGATACCACCTCACGCCAGTTAGAATGGCGATCATTAAAAAGTCAGGAAACGACAGATGCTGGAGAGGATGTGGAGAAATAGGAATGCTTTTACGCTGTTGGTTGGAGTGTAAATTAGTTCAAGCACTGTGAAAGACAGTGTGGCAATTCCTCACGGAATTGCCTTCAACACCCCTTCAGAAAACTACACTGCAGAAAACTACACTGCAGTGCACACTGTCCCTCAGGATCTCGAACTAGAAATACCATTTGACCCAGCAATCCCATTACTGGGTATATACCCAAAGGATTATAAATCAATCTTCTACAAAGACAAATGCAAACATATGTTTATTTCAGCACTGTTCACAATAGCAAAGACTTGGAACCCACCCAAATGCCCATCAATAACAGACTGGATAAAGAAAATGTGGCACATATACACTATTGAATACTACGCAGCCATAAAAAAGTATGAGTTCATGTCCCTGGCAGGGACATGGATGAAGCTGGAAACCATCATTCGCAGCAAACTTACACTGGAACAGAAAACCAAATACCGCATGTTCTCACTCATAAGTGGGATTTGAACAATGAGAACATATGGGCACAGAGAGGGGAACATGACACAACGTGGCCTATTGGGGTTGGGGGGCAGGGGAAGGGAAAGCATTAGGAGAAATACCTAATGTAGATGACGGGTTGATGGGTGCAGCAAACCACCATGACACGTGTATATGTATTTAACAAATCTCCACGTTCTGCACATGATAGTATCCCAGAACTTAAAGTATAATAAAAACTTGAAAAAACAAATGGAGAAAGACAAGAACGCAGAATTGGTTATAGCCCAGGGAAGCAGAGGAGAGGGAAGATGACTATAGGATCAGCTTATTCTGGATAGATTCTTGAAGGGCTGGACCTGGGGCTAAGGAATAAGCAAGAAAAACCTCTTTTATGTACCTTGGCATAATCATACTGACTTCCAACAGTTACTGTTTCCTCAATAAAACTGTTGAAATTGGCCGGGCGCGGTGGCTCAAGCCTGTAATCCCAGCACTTTGGGAGGCCGAGACGGGTGGATCACGAGGTCAGGAAATCGAGACCATCCTGGCTAACACGGTGAAACCCCGTCTCTACTAAGAAATACAAAAAACTAGCCGGGCGAGGTGGCAGGCGCCTGTAGTCCCAGCTACTTGGGAGGCTGAGGCCGGAGAATGGCGTGAACCCGGGAGGCGGAGCTTGCAGTGAGCTGAGATCTGGCCACTGCACTCCAGCCTGGGCTACAGAGTGAGACTCCGTCTCAAAAAAAAAAAAAAAAAAAAAAATTGTTGAAATTTAGAACGACACTCTTCAAATTAGCCACTAGGAGGAAGGGCAGCCAATCTTCTTTTATTCTAAATCGTTTAACCACGTGAATTAATATATAGAAAACTACACTGCAGTGCACACTGTCCCTCAGCAGGCGTGGAGGCGTGGAAGGACGCGAATGACCCCGGGAATGGCGGGCGAGGAGGGAAGAGAAGCTGGTGTGAGGCGCCTGCGTTTTCTTGGGGACCGGGAGGGCAGAGGAGGGGGTGTGAGGTGCCTGCCTTCTCGGGGCTCGGGAAGGAAGAGAGCAGGTTTGAGGCGCCTGCCTTCCTTGGGGCCTGGGAGGAAAGGAGAGGGTGCGAGGTGCCCGCCATTCTCAGGGCCTAGGAGGGAAGGGGAGCGGGTGCGAGGTTCCTGTCCTTTGTGAGGCTGCGGAGCCTGCTGTGAGTCCGCAAAGCCTGGTCTCCTTTTCCGCCCACTCTCCGACCTGCAGGCCCACGGCGCTCAGGGTAAAAGAGTCCCCAGCCCCGGAATCAACTCCCTGGGACTCGGAACGCAACCCACGCAAACCCGGACCCCGTCTCTCGCTGGCGGGGAGTGGCCTTCGCATGCAGACGTGGAGAAGTCGCCTCCACCCACAGCTCCTCCCGTGGACCCAGGCCGCCTCCCCCACACCCCTCCCGGAGCCCCCAGACCCTCCGCAGCGCTCCTGGTCCCTCCCCCACTGCCCGCACTCACAAAGAGCCTCAACTTCTCCTCGGGGGGTGACTTCCTCAGCCAGCCGCTGTGCAGCACGTGGCCACTTGTCATGCTCCGCCTGCGGGGCCGCTTCCGGGCCACGAAGACGAAGGCGCAAATGTTGGGTCCGGAGGTCACAGCTCCCGGGAGGGGGAGGGGGACGGCAGGGAAATGGGGTCCGCGGCTCACAGTGAAGGTGCGGTGACAGGGCGAGAGGGTGCTGCTGGAGGTGGGGTGTGGGGGGCGGCTTGCGGTTCCCTGGGACTGCGGGGTCGAAAGCGCAGTTTTGGGGGAGGTCCGGGTCAGAGGTGAAGCTCGTGGGCAGGGCGGGACCCGCGCGCAGGCGCTCACAGGCGGGGGCGGGGTTCAGGTTCCGGCTGGGCTTTGAGTTCTGGTTAAGGCTTGCGCCTGTGGTTCGGATTGCAATTTGAGGGGGAGTTTGGGAGTAAAGTTTAGACAAGGCCTCTGGTTTAGGGTTTGGGTTGGGGATTGGGGTGGGGACTTGCACCCTAGGTCAGCCTGGGTGCATCTCATCGGGACCACCGGGGTGGGGGACATGGGCTGGGCGGCTCCTTGGGAGAGGGGGGACAGGGAGCACAGCTGGTGGGGAGGACAAGAACGAGGCGCGCAGCAGAGCGTCAGATGCTGAGTCCCAGGCGCCAGGTGAGGAAAGACAACGGAAGAGTTCAGGTTCCTGCTGGGGTTTGAGTTCCAGTTCGGGATTCGGCCTGTGGTTTACCTTCTGACTTGAGGTGGGGTTTGGGGTCAAGGTTCAGGCTAGGACTTGAGTTCTGGGTTGCAGTTTGGGGCTGGGGTTAGGTTTTAGAGTGAGGGTTTGGGCTGTTTGTGTTGTGTATGTTTGTGAAAGTATTGGGATGTCGCTGTGTGCGCGTGTGTGTACTTATGTCACGTGCGTGCATGTGTCAGCGTGTGCATGCATCAGTGTGTGCATGTGTGAGTGTTCGTGAAGTGTGGCACCGAGAGCCAACCCCTCTCCTCGCATTTATGCCCCACTGTCTTATCCTGGTTAGGGTGCGCTTTACAAGTTCCTTCCCTGGGCCAGTTGGAGGTTCGCATGTTGCCTGGGGAGAGAAGGGAAGGAGAGAAGAGGTGGAAGAGGAGGGCGGCTTGGCCTCAACCAGACCCTGCGTCATGGGGACCAAGAAGCCGGAGGTCCTTGTCTCCTGCCTCTGGAGGAGCTTGGTTTGCTTCTTTGTTCACATATTGTGTGAAAGCACAGCTGGGGGCATCTGATGTGCACAGGATCTGTTCTTGCCCCTGCAGATGTCTTAGAGAACAGGACAGACAACGGGCGTCTTCAGTAAGCCATTGCCAATGTGCACTGCGTGTCAGCTTACAAGAGGGGCACAGGGGCCTCATCAGGTAGCAGGGAGGATGCAAGGAAGAGTGTGTGGGAATGGGGGTGCTGGGTGGGGCCAGGTGAGTGGGTGCCTGGCTTCTCCCTGGAGCAAAGGAAAGTGCTGAAGAGCGTGAAACTGTGACATGTTATGCTTTATGTTTTGAGAATGGATTGCGGGAACAAGCAGACATGGGGGACCTGATGAGGGCCAGTGGGATGTCCACAGAGATAAGATTTGGTTTGAGCTGGTAAGAAAAGTGGAGATGAAGCCAAGTGGAGGAAATTGCAGGGTCTTGAGACTGAGGAGACATGTGGGTGGATGAGATATGAGTAGTGACCCTGAGGTGGGGAATGGGGGGACAACCCGGAGGGGAGGTTGGTGAGGTGTATTTGGACCTATTGGGTTGGAACCCTAGGCAACATCCTCATGGGAGGACCAGTGGGTCCTGGTCAGGCAGACATGGTGCTCAGGGAGACATTGGATGAGGTAGGAGCCATAGACCCTCTGCTGATGGCAAGGATGGGGTTCCTGGAGGTGCTGGCTCCCTCTACAGGCTGCAGTCATGGCAAGTCAATTCTAAACTCACCATCACAGCTCACACTGTATAGGACGTATGCCTTAGTATAAATCAGTTAGCCAGGGAGGCCACAGGGTGCCCAGTTGGATCCTGCCCTGAGAGTAGGTTTGGATGGGGTGAGAGGGGAGAGAGGCAGTGGCAGGGATGAGGCAGATGAGCTCTTCCTGGTTGGAAGGGAGCTCAGCCCCTGCAGTGACCTCATGCCAACTGGGGCCTCAGCAGGAGCCCCTACCTGGGTCCCCATGGACCTCTGACTGTCTTCTGGCCTCGGGGTGGAAAGAACCCTCTTCCAGAATATGTCCTCTCCAGCAACATTCTTCCAGCCCCCTACAGTGCGCACAGTGGGAACTTCAGGAGCGTGCAGAGACTGCCACAGCGCATGGAGGGCAGGTGTTGCCCCAAGGTCTAGCCTGCCCAGGATGTTGGCTTTGATGATGGTTGGGGGACTTATCAGTGTCTTGAGCCTTTTATATATATATATATACAGTGAGTTTAAATTTATCCTCTGTGTCTCAAGTGGACAAAAAAAAAAAAACACTTTACTTTCCATTGATGATTTATTTTTCTTGTGTCTTCCGTTGCATGGCTGATGGGAAAATGTAAGTTTCTCATAACTTATCTCTATTTCCTCTGGTTTGCAGCTGTCTGCGCCCACCGTAGGGCTCACCTCCTCCTTCTGTGAGGGTCTGTCCTGTGGCCATGGGGAAAGGTCCCTGGCACTGATGCTGCCCTTGGGACCCTCACTGACCCTGGGCTCCTGGTCTGCCCACCCCTTCGGTTCCCCTGGGGTCACACATTGGTACCAGAGCCAGGAATGGGCTCTGCATTTCCTCCTCTTTGAGCCCTGTCTGGCTCCTACAGCCCATGTATTGGTGAACCACTTGGGGGTCACATAGACCCTCCCCTCCCTGCTGAGCTGGCAGTTCATGCCCCATGGGTGGGAGGAGGGGCAGAGGGAGAGCTCTGGGAGGTGGGCTCCAGTGTCCTCCCTCAGGCTTCTCACTGTGGGCAAAGGGCACAAGGCATGAGGTCCCTGGGGTCCGGACCAAGCTGACCTGGGTCTTCAGCAATCAGGAAATAACTTTTATCTTAGAAATGCAAGTGTTTCTAATTATCAGGTCCAGAAGGAGGCATTAAAATGAGACCACAGTCATGACCTACTCCCTCACATTGAGCTGTGTATTCGTTTCTTGATACTGCTGTTGCCACAAGTAGCTTTGAATTTACCTCATAATGCCACACCAGATGCCATACCCCACACCCTATAGCTTAACAGTGTCACACCGGATGCCATACATCGCACCCTGTAGCTTAACAGTGTACAGCCCATCACTAAGGAGTGTTATTGCTATGAACCAACTAACATTCCTGAGGAATTGTATCTGCCCCTTCCCTATCCCCCTTGTTTTGCCTTTAAAAATCGGCTCATAACTGCTGCTAATTGGAGTGTATATTCAGGATAACTTGAATCTATGCTCCGGAGTTGCAATCCTGAAGTTTGTCTCAAATAAACTCTCTACGAACATTAACTTTGTCTCAACTTCTTCCTTGTAGGGTGACACCAGGGTCTCCTTTCCTGGTCCTGCGGCTTCCCTGGACCCTGTGTGGTAGAGACATCCCCTCCACACAGTATTGCCAGCATATTATGCAAAAAAAACCATTTTCCCTTTCAACAGGGGACCTAGTTCTTAGGATTGTTGTTCAAAAATATAATTTAAAGCTTAAAACTGAGCACCTGGGTCTTGGCAGAGTTCCCGTCTTTCCTCGGAGTGGCAGATGTGACTGTCAAGAGCCTGGGCAGCTGAAGACAAGGCTGAGTGGGGCAGAGGTTGTGATTGTACCCTGACCTGTGTCATCCACTTGCAGGCACCAGCCCTTCTCTGTAGAACCAGGGCATCTGCCAGGGATGATTCAGGCCCATGGGTGGGGGTCTGGCAGGGAGCAGTGCAGTGATGGAAGGTGTAGTGTGTGTGGGGTGCGTTGGGTGGATACTTCTGGTCCCACCAAAGGAAGAGCTTCCTTTTGGAGGCAGAGGTCTCCTATGTCTCCACAGAGGGATTCAGGTCAGCTGGCCTTTCCCAAGTACCTTGAAAGTCACCAGTCTTAGTGTCACCTGTCTGTCATGCTGTGTGTGCGTGTGTGTGTGTGTGTGAGAGAGACAGACAGAGAAAATTGTTCAGGTGGGCGTATCCAGTCCCTGTAGCTGCTGAAAGGCCCTGGGACACACGCTGCATGCTGCCAGGCGTTTTTTCTGTCCTCAGCACACGTCACCATCTGTACCCTGGTGCAGGCTGCTGTGAGCCCCAGGCTCTGTGCTAGGGGAGCAGTGAGGGGACCGAAGAGACTCAGGGTCCCATGTTGAGGCTGAGCTAGCACATAGTAAGGAAGACGGAATGTTCCTGGCACAGGTGCTGCTTGATGTGGACATCAGGAGGGCTGCTTGGAGGAGGACGGAGGGCCTGCTGAGGAGGAGGTTACCACTCCCAGGGTGAGTTCTGATCATGCTGCCTGAGCCCTTCCCTCATCCCATACTCTGCTCCAGACCTGGATGGAGGCCCACGTGGCTGGTGTGCAGCCGAGCCAGGACTGTGCCAGCACCTCACAAGGAGCCTTGGAATTCAGTGTGCGAGGGGCCACTGCGGTGCTCACCTGTGGCTCAGCATGTCCCTGGAAATCTGTGACCTGGAGGAGAGCAGGAGGGCATGGAAACACCTCCTAGGAGCCCCAAGTTTGGAGGATATGCTGCCAGCGGAGTGTGAGGAGTGAAAGGCACCGCTGCCTGCCTACCTGCCACTGGAGGACCAGGCCCCTACATCCCCCACAAGCCTGCTCACTGAGACTGAGTGGGGTAGTAGTGGCTACTATGCCTTAGGCTGCTATGGGGGATGCAACCCTTCATCCCTCTCAGGAAGCACATGGAGCCCTGAACCCATCCCAGCCCTGCCCCGTGGCCTTTCACGTGACCAGTGAGGCTTGGAGACCAAGTGAGGAGGCATCTGGGTGGTGAATGGTCCCAGCCAGAGGCATCGGCTGCACAGGGACATCCAGGGCCCACAACTCCCTCCTGTCTTCACCAGGGCTCAGTCCTGAAAGTTCTGGGGCCCAGATACAGCCACCTGCATCATGTCCGTCTTGTGGAAAATGGACAAAAGTCTCTGGAGCTGGCTATTGGCTGGGACAGGACCTCCCAAGAAGGGGCCTCTAGCAGTGGTTAGAAGTCCTGCCTGGATGGAGGCTGGAAGCTCCTCCTTGCCTGATCTGCTTAGCACCTGTGGGGAGGGGCCTCTGCCCTCAGCATCCTGCCCACAGCACCACATTCTCCCGTCCCCTTTCTGGCTTTATCTATGGCCACTTTGATAAAAGAGGTGTAGTCTCCCAGCCTGTTCTGCTCTTACCCCTTAAAGGGCCAGCATGGGGCCAGTGGACACAGGTGAGACACCATAACCTGGTGGTGGTGGTCTCTCCATGCCGTCCATGCCTTCCTGAGGCACCTTTCCTAGACATTAAAAGGTACATTATGGCTTTTCCAAAGTGCTGATGCCTGGGAGGAAATATCAAGGGAGGGGTGGAGTTTGACCGGCCCTGGTGGGCTTTCTGGGCTCCAAGAACAGCAGGGTGCAGACTCAGACCAGCTCCCAGATAGTAGGGTGGAACATCAGTGACAGCTCTGGGGACAGCAGAGTGGAGGCTCAAGGACGACTTCAGACAGTGGGGTGGAGGCTCACATG